CCCCTCATTATTTAGCCCCAGAGTTTTCAAACCCCACCCCCGTCCCCAACAGCAAGCATTGACGGCGATGGAAACACTGAATGTAATGCGCTAAGCCCAGGACCTGCAGCAGAGAAGTTTCTGGAAGGGGCCCATGCACAGCCCTGGCTTAGCCTGTCCACTACAATAAACTCCCATTTACTGACCAACAACACTGACACTTATCAGCATATAGTTTAATTCCTCATTCAATGTAAGGGGTTTTGGTCCATTTAGGCGGAACATGGTTATTGAGAGGGTTGTATTAACCGGTTTTGATTTACTGGGTGGGGGGGGGGGGGTTACAACCCATCCATCCCCCCCACCCTTAATTTAGGCCCATGGTCCATTCCCATCCTCTGTTAACCCAACCCCTCATTCCTTCCTCATCTCTGAGGACCGTGCTCTGATGAAGCCCCTGTCTGTCACCCCATGGTTACGCACTCATGTCAACTCCATGTGTGGCCTGGCCCCCACCCTGTTATGGCTGATTAGTGTGCTTCCTGAAGCAACTATGGCCAGCAGCATGGCCCCAGGATGGGGGTTAGTGCAGGTGATCAAAGCTTGACCCACCCCTTGCCCCCTGTTCAAGGGGTTCACAGGAACCTAGCATCAGGACATGCTGCAGACAAGGTTTCCTGGCCAGATGAAATGCAGGCAGGCCTTGCAGGAGTACGTCGCCTCTGTCACTCATTAAAGGGTAGCATTTCATAGGAGCTGAGGGGTGGGTAGGAAAGAGAGACACCAAAAGCCACCATGTCCTCAAGCATCTACACGAGATCCTCTCGCACCCTCCCAAAAAAAACTATTTAACGTTATTGCTTTTATAGAGCTGAAAATGGTCATCCTGTTTGCTCGTCATAAAAATGTAATGCAAGCGGGAAGTGAGTAGGAGAGGAGACAGCTACAAACAAATGCTTTCTTTTAAAAAATCCTGGCATTAATCATTTTTGCATCAATTCACTTTTTTTTACGTTACACAAATCCTAAAATACAACCTTTTGTGGGTTTGCTGTCTAAGACATAAAAAAAGATCGGCGCTCACAGACAAACCCCAACTTCTGTCCTTGTCAAATTCCTCTGCAAAACGCCGTAAAGCCATTATGAAGTTTAGGCTGGCTGGCAGAAAATCGTATTTTAATGAGGCCGAGAAAAGCTGAGTCTTCATCAGAAGCCCGTTAAAATATTCCAGGGTTAATCCACACATAAATTAATACAACAGCAAATTGTCATACTGAATACACACAGTCAGCTTAACAATAAACACACACTAATCTTAAGGGTAAATAAAAACTAAATTTAATGGCTTCCAGTCTGGATGTTTAGGACAGTCAGACCGTCAGATCTGAGGCTAGTTTTCTATGATAGGAGAAACCATAGATTGTTATTCTATGGAAGGAGGAAATTCATTGTTTTCAATTGTTACTCAATGGTAGGAAGAATTATACATTGCTATTCCACTGTAGGAGTAAACATCAATTGAACCTGATCGGGTAACCTGTGTAGACCAGGTTATTTCGTCAAAAAATTGAAAGAGAATATAAGCTGTTAATCAGTGCTGGGAGCTAAACCAAAATAAGATGCAAGCCTAACAAGAGTTAAGCAGAAGATGACAGGAGGTTTTCTGTCCAGAAAGGGTTAAGGCTAAGCAGGATGGAGGCTGTTATTATTAGCCATGTTCGTGCGGGAGAAGCGGTGTTGGGGGCCGGGTGCTGTAGCGTGATATGCAGCACAGCGGCGGCGGGTGTGGGCGGGGCCACAGAGGAGCCCGGTAAGCAGCGTTTCCCCAAGCGGAGCTGCTCTAACGGGAGCTGGGAGATTCACGTGCCACGGGCAGAGGCCGGTCCCCCGAGAAAACACGTGCAGACCGCACCGTCACGCGTGGAAACTGCACTCACACGTGTCGCTGAGACACCTCTTCGGAAGCGGAACTGCGAAGTGCCCTAGATCCCGCCCACCTCACGCCCCCATGAATAACACCCCCGTAAACACTGTTACGCATTCAAAAGATGATGCAAGCTGGAGTCCCCCCCGAATAATGTTGGCTTCCCGGTGGGGAATTGGGCGAGTTGCCAGCACCCGTTGCCCAGGTGGGCCTTCAATCTGCTCTCCTCGCAAATTAAAGTGCTCTTCCGGCAAGCCGCCGAGGTATTAATAACTGTAGGGCCCCAGACTGCATCTGAAACGCAGTGCTTATTAAAAAAATGCAGGTAAACGGTATAAAGCCTCCCCGGATGGGTCCAGAAGCCTCATACGACATCCAGCGTATTCACTTCAGGGATTCTTTTAGGGATATAGTGGGGATACGAACCACACCCCCTACTGTATGTCCAGAAACTGCTCCTGCACTGGGCCAGCCCCTTCACACCCAAAGCTCCAATCCCACACCCAGAACTGCAAATATAAATCATGAAATTAAGTGACAAAAGGTATTGCCATATATTATACATAAAATAATGAATATTCACGCAGTGGCATCGCTGCCAGCACTGTAATTCAATGCTTGAACACGAATTCTAGGAAAATGGGAACATTCAAGATGCCTGCCCTTTTGAGGCAAAAAAAAAAAACCCCAACTTGGATGGTAATGAATAGCGAATGCCGCTGTGTTTTTGCGAGCAATTTGAAACCTGGCGTCTGAGAGTCAGAGAGGGCTGCGCCAATGAAAACCCACTTTCCCGACTGCCGGGGAACAATTATATCAACAATGTCATAACAATAATGAAATTCTCCGGGGCTTTTTCGCATATACAGCCGCTTGGAGCAATGTCAACAGTAAAAAATGTGTGTTTTATGACTTTCGAGAGTGGTGGCGATGAATATTTATTCTACAGCACGTCCACGCGTGCGGGGATGGCATTTAGTGAAACTTGCCGATAATTTATGACATGTAACACACTCCATCTTCCATGTATGCATCATTACAACCCTAATTTGCTACTCTGCGTAACGTCTTCATGAATGGCTGCAAGAATTGAACTTTCCAATGTGAGACGATTAATATATTGAGTGCAGTATAATGTTGTACAATGGCCTGGGGCAGCTCGGTTGCATGGGCTCCATTGCGTATCTTGTAAAGACAACGAGGTACAGATGTTTGAGGGCGTGCTAATTTTAACATGCTCCGGCCAATGGGGAGGCCCAAAATGGCCGTCCGGTGTCCTGGGGTTCGAGTGACGCCTCTATCAAGCTGGGCGACACTCACAGCTGCACAATGCCTTTTATATCCCTGCCACGACACTCGAGGGAACTTAGCTGCTAGCGAGCGGGCCACGTCCTTCAAGCCTCAGCGCGTTTTATATCATTTGGGGGGTTGGGGAGGGGGACCAGGCGGAGATTATAGAAGTGGGGGCAGAGAGTTAGTGACGAAATCTGCTCTAATCCCATCGTACACTCCTAGGATGGCACTTCCGGGACACGATAAATACACACACATTTTATGTGTGTATACAACAGAGGAGTAGCTAATTAAAGTCATTTATTGCATCACTATCATGTGACACTTGTTATATATGACATCACTGACAAAGTAGTTAAAGTGTGTGATCTCTGTTATAGGTCAAAGTCAAACAGGTGACCCTCCTATTCGATGGCACATTAAGAAGGGAATGGGAGGGTCCAGCAGCTGGGTTTGCTCCCACTTGAGTGCTGGGGTCGTGTATGACATCAGCCCTTCCTGACATTGTGTCATGGTGTCAAGCAGCCTTTTTGTTCTTCTCATCCTGCTTTAAGAGCACTTGTGCAGTGACAAAAGGCAGGCTGACCTCGCTATTCTATGAACCTTGAGCATTGTGTTTTGAACAAATGGCTGAACAGGATGAACATAGTATTTCAGTGCCTTTCAGCCTGTGTGTGTGTCTGCGCATGTGTACTTGTGCATGAGCACAGTGTGCGTGACAGCGCTGTTTTGTAGCCACGGATGTGCTCCCCTAAGCGTGCATCGGGTGCCCCAGGCCTTGGTCCCAGAACGACCTGTTTTTCCCCTGTTTGGTGGGGGGGAGGGGTGGAGCGCCTTGACACCGCGAAGCCGGGCGTCTGGCTGAGTCACACCATTACTAGCTCTGGAGTGTCCCAGGGGCACATGACAGATGTGATTGTGTCACTCTTCACTTGGGAAGACAGGAGCTTGTCTGTTTGTATGGAATCCATGCATGGCGGATACCTGGGGAGGGTGTGCATGTATGTGTGTTCGCCGCATGCAGCAGTGCTCAGCATGTCCTCGGGCAGGGTTCTTCAACTCTAGACCTCGATTCCAAATCCAGGCCGTGTTTTCAGTTCCCCCAGGTAGTTGTTTAATAATTACTGATTCTGATTGGTCAGAGGCTTCACACCTGACTGACAGGTAAAGGAAGGCTGGAAAACCAGCAGTGCTCGGACCTCGAGGACCATGAGTTGTATAACCCTGTCCTAGGGCTTGTCTCTGAAGCTGTACATGGGTGGTACGTGTGCTCCTTGGGGACTGTGCATGTGTGGGGCTGGGAGTGGGAATGCTGGCTGTCACATAGGCATCGGGTTAGCGACGCACCATACCTCCCTCCGAAATACACATACACATGCTCCAACATCTCGATGACAAACCGGCATGCACGCAGCAGGAGACGTGGCAGGGGAGGGTGTTAATTCCATAATATCCTGTCTGTTTGCTGCTATACCATCAATATCTGCCTTACCAGCATCTGGCACCTTGTGGCGGGGGCGGTCAGCTTCATCATCATCATCCTTGTTATACCTGGATTCATTGCCATCATGTACATCACCTTGGCCACCATCATCAACCTCAGCCACCTCACATTTTCCACCATCATGATCATCATCAACACCAGTGATATCATGATCATCAACAACACCGCTGACATCACCATCATCTTAATCTTTGCCATCATCATGAACCTGACCTTTGTCAACCTCATCAACACCATTCACATCATCATCATCATCATCAATATCAGCAGCATGATGGGAAAAGTGGCAAAGGCACTCACGATGTGTAGCTCTAGGTAGTCCCCAAGTCCAGAGGAGCTGTCCACTCGCACCAACACTGCATCCTTCAGCTGCGTACTGAAGCCCACCGTCAGCCGGTCTGCCCGTGTGCTGGGCCGGTCATTCGGCGGCCAGGTGTAGATAATCAGACCACCATCGCGCCCAAATATGTACGTCGTTCCCGCTGCAGAGGGAAGATGAAGATTCATTAGGGTTAAAGGAAGCGCCTTCTATGGCTTGTGAGCTCTCAGCAGAATTACCTGTCAGAAAAAGATAGAATAAGTTGGAACAAGACAAGAAAAGAAAACTGATGGATGCTTAATGACCAGTGAACTCATAAAAATTGCAAGACCCCCCAACCAATCAGTGCTGTCCTGTTGGCCCATGTGACAATAAGTGGGTAGGAACCTGAAATGCTCTTTCAGTAAGGCATCACGCAGTGGGACCTGGAAGGGTCCTGAGGTGTAGTCCTTGGTAGGTTCTTCCTAACTGTGGAGTGGCCCCTTAAGTACAAAGCATCTCCCCTTTCCATAAACTGCAGACAAAGCCCCCATAAAGTTTACAAAGGAAAAAAACAGCAGCTCTGTACAGGTCAGGAAATGTGTCTCTATAATGAACGACCAGGGGAATTTGCCAATTTAGTCAATACTCTCAATTTATTCCTGGCTTGATTCGCAGGCTTGTCTCATTCCCTGTCCTTGTTCTTTTGTTGTTTCTTAGCAACAGTGCTGTTATTTCCCATCCGGCTGCTCTCCTCGCTCATTAAGCATTTCATTATTCAGTCCTCTGCTCCCCCCCCCCCCCACATCTACTTTTATACATTCTGTCTGGACATGGACAGGAGGCATTTTTATGATCATTAAGAGAGAGGAGAAGTGGCTCTCTGCCTTTAAAGGGAGAATTAAGCATGTAACATTCCCCCATCCCCCTGTTTCCATGCTGTCTTTATTTTTGTTTAATTGGCACAGCCCCGCCCCTGAATGCCATATGACCCACCTCCAGCCCCACCCCCCAAGATCCTCCATTACCTATCCTAGAAAGGAGTGGTCGACCACACTGGCTTAAGGGCAAGGGGGAGCTGCTAATGCCTAATGGATGCGACACTGCAGGGATTCCAGCAGCTCTGCTTTCAGCCTTATTGCACAGTCAAATCCACTGGGCCTCCCATTCCCAAGAGGGGACACAGAATTGTTCTGGCCAGACGAGAACCTGCTTGAAAAGTTCACTGTAGCTTGTTCAGCCAACAGTTCTGGCTCAACAACAAACAGCTCAACATGCAGCAAAGGCGGGCACAGGAGTTCACCCCTAAATACCACCACAGTGGGTATCAGTTTATTAATAAGCTGTTATTAGCTCTGAAGTGAAGGGATAGAAACTGCATCTCATACAAATTCCAGCTACCCTCATCACTCTGAAGGCAGACGGGCTCAAATCTGATTGGATGAGGATGGATGTGATGGGTGGGGGACAGCAGAGACGGATGGACGTCTCTCTTTAACTGTGCGGCCGTCAATCAGGTGGAAAAAAAAGATACATAAATTAGAATGATAAAAAACTAATAACTAATTTATTCCGTGGGAGGCAAATTTGCAGCTTGGATTTGTGATTTTTGACATATTTGATAAGGATAGAAACAAATGCTAATGGACAGAGAGAAAGCGAGTGAGATATTGCTTGTAAAGAAATGAATACATTTAATAAGAAATATAAATGGAAGAGGAGAATATACTCCTGTTCCATCAGGCTCACACAGTAATTGAGTGCCCGTAATTACCCTCAAACACTTTTTGTGATGTTGTGATTATTTTCTAATTTTGTTCTACGATGCCAGAACACAAATAATCACAATTTATTCTCACGGGGGATTCCCAAATACACGGAATGGCTTCACCCAGTTTCTCGCATGTCCACACAAACTTACTTTAAAAAAGAATCATCTGGATATGTGTTATGTATGAGATGCATCTTTACATTTACATATGGCCACACAAAAATAGACAATAAATCTGTTGACATAACATAAATGAGTTACTCTCCTCATTGTTATATTGTGGCTCCTGTGTCTTCTCTGCCTTTCTTTATCCCCCCCCCCCCCAAACATACTTAGTTCCTGTTCTCACCCCTTAATTTATTTCTGTGCCATTTTGGTTGGGGTAGGGGAGCCACAGAGACAAAATTGCTACAGAAATACAATCCCCCTCCGACTAAGTGTCTGAATATTTATTTATCTCTGGCCTGCGGCCTTGATTAGCTCTGCATTTAAGCGCGAGCGTCCTTCCCTCGATTCCTGCAACCCCGCTGCTTCAGTCTTCGCTGAGACTTTGCCCATCCATAACGTGCACTGCCCCCCACCATGTGAAACACCCACTTTCATCAGACAAAGGGCGCCCACAGAATACTAACCCTGCCATTAAAAAGGGGGTGTTTTTAAAAAGAGAAGCGCTACCATGATTTAATTACAAAGAGACACTCAGATCTTCAGAAGCAGCTGATGACCTAATTAGACGATGAAACATGTTGCTAAAATTAGAGTTAGATACCAATTTGGGCCCCACATTGGGTCAGCCATGGAGGATTTGTTGTAGGAGACATCCAAGTATGCCAATGGCCAGAAGCGGTTACATGGGCACAGAAAAGACGCAAATGTCAGACACAGCAGTAAAGACTGACTCCCCCACACCATGGGCAAGGTCTGGGGAGAGAGGAGTCCTACCGGCCCTCGCCTTTGCATTTCCTCTGCACAGATATGGATCTGTTGTAGCCATCGGATACAGTGTCGCGCAGGAAATATTTGTCTCTCACTTGAAGGCTGTCTCGAAATCCTCCCCTTTCTGAGATGAAGATGTTGGGGGGTGTGTGGTTAGGAAGAAAAGGAGGATGAATGATGGGAGGAATCAGAGTATGAAGAGGAGAGGTTAAAATGTGGAGGTGAAAAAGTGAGTGGGGGCATTGCTGTAATTATCGTGCCTTGTTATCACTCTCTGTTTATGCCCTGTGGCGAGCTTGCTAAGGGTGCCGGGCAGCAAACACCTCGCAACCGCAACTCTCATTCATCCGGCCCTAATGGCAGTGATCGCTCCAGACTGTTAGCAATGAGTGTGATTTGCTGGTTTGCAGAAAACAGGAGTCATGTGTGGAGTCACGTCTTTCTGCTGCTTGCATACCCATAAAAACTGAAGTGAACCCTGGCATGATCTTCTTGTCCAACCATTCTGGGAAATACCTCATCACTTATGATGACTGCCTGTCATTGGCCAGTTCCTTGCTGGAAAGAAGGAGGTGCTATTATGAAGTCATATGTGCCTGGAAGAGTCATGAAAATCCTTGGGTAAAAAACGGGCCGGTTTTCCTGAAATTCAAAATCAAAATCACTTTATTTCCTCGCTGAGTTTCCCCACATCCTGGAGGAGCCCCGATTCCGAAGAAACGACAGATGCCGCTCCAATCTATGAACGTGTCTGCAGGGCTCGGGGGGGTTTGGTGTTGTAGGGGCTGTGGTGCCTGAGGCTGGCTTTGTGATTGGGGGTGGGGGGCGGGTTGGACGACTCCAGAAACATCTGAATTCCCAAAATGCACTGCATCCACACGGCTCATATCCTCCAGCTATTCTTAGCATGATGAAAGGTGGCACATTTCAGTGAGATACGGGCCTTGGAGATCCCCAAATCTCACACGACATGCTGTGCTCACATCGCCTCTTGTGTGCCTCATATGTGGATCAAAATGCACCCTGTTTGAGAAGGGTCCATAACCCCAACCCCCTTACGCGCCGTCCTGCGTGGAGCCCGTCTGACATCCTACTGGCTTCGAAGGCACAGCCCGTCCTGCATCCACGGCGTCCTGCCATCTGTCAACTCAGCGCTCACTGTTACTAAAAGCATGCCGTGCTGAAGCCAAGAATACACCCATAACGTGGGCCTCGGTCAAAACCTGACATTTTCTAACCATTTTAAAAATTATATTTATTTCCTTGACTTTTTTTGCAGTCCATACATGGGTATGTTATGTTGCATCAATGTGTTTAAACTTGCATTGCCGCTTAGGCATTATTTATAAAACAGTATATCGGTGCCAATTCAATATCCTCACTCCAGTGTCTCAGTGAGCCAAAAAACTTTGAAAGTGAAGCCAGCTTGGCATACTGAATTCCACAAAGAAATACCAATTTAAAATAGCAAGATTAACACATACTGTACATAACATATAAGCTGCAATTTAGTTAGAGTACATAAAAAAATCCCCGTGTGACTAAAATTGTTACCAGAATTGATAAACTCACTGATGCCCAAACGAACGCTGCAGTGTTACTGGGGCTTAGCTGGGAGCCACTGATGCTCAGTGAAGGGGCACAACATCAACAGGGAGCCACTGATGCTCAGTGAAGGTGCTCAGCTGGGAGCCACTGATGCTCAGTGAAGGTGCTCACCTGGGAGACACTGATGCTCAGTGAAGGTGCACAACATCAACAGGGACCCACTGATGTTCAGTGAAGGTGCTCAGCTGGGAGACATTGATGCTCAGTGAAGGTGCTCGACATCAGCTGGGAGGCACTGAAACTCAGTGAAGGTGCTTGACATCAGCTGGGAGGCACTGACACCCAGTGAAAGTGCTCGACACCAGCTGGGAGGCACTGACACCCAGTGAAGGTGCTCGACATCAGCTGGGAGGCACTGAAACTCAGTGAAGGTGCTTGACATCAGCTGGGAGGCACTGACACCCAGTGAAGGTGCTTGACACCAGCTGGGAGGCACTGACACCCAGTGAAGGTGCTCGACACCAGCTGGGAGGCACTGACACCCAGTGAAGGTGCTCGACATCAGCTGGGAGATACAGATACTCAGTGAGGGAGCTGAAGATCATCTGGGAGGCACTGGCACACAGTGAAGGTACTTGCCGTCAGCTGGGAGCCACTAACACTCAAGTGAAGGTGCTCGCAGCCAGCTACAAGCCACCAATAGTAGGTGATTACCATCACCTAGGAGCCACTGATACTCAGTGAAGGTGCACAGCTGGGAGCCACTGATACTCAGTAAAGGTGTTCACCACCCTGGACATGAAGCCTAAGACAGGAGCAGCCCAGGCCCAGCTGAGATCCCTCACCTCCCGCGGCCGTTATGCGAATGGGACCAAAATCGAACAGCAACACTGCGTCTGTTTCACAAAGAGGCGGCAAAACAATTAATT